TAACCCCCCACTGCCATTGTTTCGCTAATCCTTTTTAAATTGGCAAAGGCTAAATGTTGCGTCAGGCCGACGTGCTAGAAGGGGCTGAAATGAGGAAATTAACTCGGTTGTCGGTCTGGCGGTCCCTCCCCCTTAGCATAAGTGAAAGGGATAACAAAACAAAGAAGACAAGTATGGTTGATCAAAGAAAGAAGATAAGAAAGTCATGTTTATGCAATCATTCATGCCACACAGACAATGTAGAAGATCTATTTGTTTTCAACGTATAAACATGACTTACTCAGCATCTTAATTAGGATGCTTTGATCAACCATACATATTATGTTTTGTAGTATAAACATGACTTTCTTGTCTTCTACTTTGATCACCTAAGCTTTTTTCTTGTGTTAGCAAGACCTGCTTATCTCATCTTATTCTTTTTTGCAATGTTGTATATTAACCTATGCAAGTTTCACACTCCGCGTGAAAATGACAAATCTTCAGGGAGCTGAGTTTGTTACTTCATAGAGGCGGTCAACAAGTGCTTCATGCAGGATACTGATACAGACTGAATGTCAAGCGTCAAGTGTGTCATTCCTGGCTGCAATGGAACATGTAGCACCATCGGAGACCACATTACATCCACTACTCCGCACACTCATCTCCTGTTGAGAATGCAGATCACATCAGAATTATACGTAGTAGGGGTGACTATTGAGGGGGAAACAACTATTGCGATAGCGATAGTCTGTTGCGACCAACTATTGCCATAGTATTGCAATAGTTTTTTTCTCGTTGAATTTTCTCATTTCATGTCATTTTCCAAATGAATGAATAGTTTATATGAAATCGAAACAAGTTGAAGTAGTTTCAATCTCTTTTAATAACTGACAATAAACTTGAAACCCAGATCAAGTAAACAGTTAAAACATAAACTCAATGAAGCTGCAAGTCTGCACCAAAACAATATAAAAATACAAAACAACATAAATAGTTAATAAAAATAAAGTCAATTACTAAACTATCGATAGTCACACATTCTATCGATGCATCGATAGTCGTTCGTTCTACCATCGATTAATTGCCATCGCAGACTCAACAATTGCAATCCATCGATAGTTCGATGCATCGTCACAGCCCTAATAGCTAGAATGAGGGAAATTGTCAAGATTCACATCACTCCTGTCCAGCAGATCTTTAACGCTGAACTCAACCAAACTGACAAACACACAGCAGCCACCATGCCGTCCTTTGCCAGTGTACAAGTCGCCTTGACTAATGTGACTGATAATAGTGATGATATTGGCATTTTAACTTGTTGAATATATGATATTATTAAAGTATAAATCGTCAGTCCAAGAGTTTATTTTCATTAGTGGAGGTATACCTCATTTGTGGACGAGTCTACTTTTCTAAAGGTATAACAGCATTAACGTGCAGTCAACCCTAAATAATTCACCATATCTTTAGCCTTGGCGGTACTCCCCTACTCCCTGGAAAATGAGCTCTCCTGGGTTATACGAAATATGATATATTTTAGCCTTCTCGGGACGACACCCTACGGGCCAGAGGGATGTGACGATTATGCTCAGTTCACTCAATATATTGCACTTATTTCTTCACGCTTTTATTTCTGAGGAGTCTACACGTCTAATTGCACTTCTTTGGTTTACTTCCACTGAGAAAATATCCTAAAACGTGTAACGCTATTTCGATTTGCGTAGTGATCCTTTGTTTACATAGGTTATGCGATTCCACCTGATGTCATCGAAGCCCAATGGAGAGCAAGCAAAGCAGTCATTTTCATGAATAAATATGTATTTTCATGAACCTGGATGTCGCAGGTGTATATGAATATCTCTATAGTAATACAAACCAACACGAAGAGTGCCCTCAAAAGCTTGCATGAGGCCAGTCTTTTCTAATTTACAAATATGCAGCGTTTACAGTTATGTATGGTGGCTCATTCGGGCCATCGCTTTATCGCCCTGAAGAAATCAAGGCGATATCGCAACAAAGCGATAGTACGACACGATATTGCGATATGGCGACACGATACAGCGATATTGCGATACAACCAAAAACGAAATAGCAAAATCACGACACGACATGGTTATAACAAGACACGATATGGCGATGCGACACTAAATGTCAACAACTCGACAAGCAGTGGCGATAACACGACACGATATGGCGATAACACGACACGAAATGGCGATAACACGACACTATATGGCGATAACACGACACGACATGGCGATGCGGCAATATTGCGATATTGCGATTCTGCGATATTCCGATACGGCGATATTGCGATACGGCGATATTGCGATATGTTCACTTGTTAGATCTGCGCATGCTCAAACGGAAAACGAGGCTCATTCGCCATTTGCAAAGTAAAGGGAAACGGGTATGTATTTTCTTACTGAATGTCCTACATTATAACACTCATTTGTTTTCATGTGCATTGATTGTTTTTGTTGTTATAAACAGACAAAAAAACGATGCTAAACTTTGGGCATCCCGCATACCACTTTGAATGTACACAACGTATACAAGAAGATTAGAATTGTATTTCCACATAATATGCATAATAGTGTGTAAGCATAGGACTGCGTATTGATTTGTTTTATCTGACACTCTTTGAAAAAAGAACTTGCTCAAAAACCCATTTCTACATTGAAATATTTGCATCCGAATGGAATACGGTAAGCCAAATTCTCTCATTTTGGCTAGCTATGCTAATAGTGTGTGAATGCGACCTCACGAAATTTTACTATGTTATGTTAAGCACGTGGGTCTTCAGCATACAGTGTTGTTTACTCTTTATTATAGAAATCATCCAAAGCAAGATGAAGGGGAAACTTAAGCACTGGACGAAAGTGATACAAATGTCTCAGTTTGAAAGTGATTTTCCTCAAGGCTTTCTCTGTTTTGCATCCCACTTGGAATTTGTCCAAGCTGCTAGCTTTTGTGGAGACAATAACCTAGATGTCATTGACTTGTATGAGATCAATGGTTTCAATCTGTTAATATTTTTTGATGAAGCTGATTTGTTGCTATGCAAAACATTCTGTCTTGATCAATTCTTTACGTTTCTTGTCTACACTGTGACATCATCAATTTATTAAAAGGTGAGTAGTAACTGGACATAATATACAGTTCAGCTTTCAGAGTTTAACAAATCAGCACAAAACCAATTAAACTATTTATGTTTTCAAGAAAACATTCTTACTGCAGTTTATTTCAAACCGCATTGTGCAGTATTCATTGCAAAGATCGGCATTGTGGCATTTTACAAATAACGCAAAGATACCTTAAAAAGGCAATTGGGCTCATGGGTCTAAGCAACCTAAGCTTCTTTCGCACCTCGAAATGGTGCCTGAATAACCACCCAAAATGACTCTGACTGACCCAAATGTTGACTTCATCATGATACTAGCCATAACAAAATACACTGATTAAACACTCACTACATTCTACTGTTTCAATGCTTTCATTTAATATCAAGTAAATCACTGAACAATGTCATCTTAAACATGGAATTATTTCGCTTCTGGTTCGGATCCCGATGCTTGTTCATTGGTGCACAAGAATTAAAAAATGCATCGACACAACACAACAGAAATCACCTTCCACTTGAAATTGTACAGCAAAGAGCATGCACTGTCTGGCTATAGAAGTCCAGATTATTTTCGGAAATCGGCATCCGTTTTGAAGGGGTTTCAAGGTCAAATCACTACGCCACGTCTTGACGCTGCGACACGGAACATCGCCATTAAAAGAATGCACGCTGGAGATTACCAATCTTCTCTTGCCAGGCGTCTGAATGTTAGTCTGTGCACGATATCACTGCTTTTAGCTCGTTACAACCAAACAGGTATAACAAATGACCGTCCCCATACAGGCAGACCTCCAGTACCATTGCAGCCCAAGATCGGTACATCCGGGTACTACAATTGCGTGATCGTACTGCCACGGGTGAGGGCACACAGCAGCCAGGGTGCCTGGACCTCGGAGGATATCCGGTCAAACTGTACGGAACAGGTTGAGAGAGATTGGACTGAGAGCCAGGAAACCCGACGTCGGGACCAAGCTACGTCGTCACCATCGCGTTCAACGTCTCCGTTATCTACAATAATCCACTTGGTTGTATAGAAATTACCTTCTTCTAAACTGATGTAAAAATTCATGTACTAAAGTTTATTTGTGGACGAGTTATACATGTTTTAAAATACAATTTCGCAACAGATTTCTGGGTTATGCGTTTCTTTTTTGCAATAGTATATGTTGGTCATGGAATCAGAGAAGGCTATTTGGCTCATTGCATATTCTGTGCTCTCTGAATTGTAGCTCATAATATAATTATGTGACCATAATATCAACTTCAGTTTAAAAGGGATTCTTGAACCCCCTGAGTCTTTGTATCACCTCGAATACTACATATTACAGTACACAGAATCTACAAAGGACACTGCTATGTACTTCTCATCAAATGTTTAGACTCACTTGTGTAAATATTACTTCAGTCAACTGTTCAAAACTAAATTTGGCAAAATATTCCATACAGTTTAGGAGAAGCCTACTAGACATAAATTGATGTATTGTAAAACAAATTCGTAACGTTGAAAAGCTTATTGTCATGAGTTCAGTAAATGATGAAAATCAGGGATTAAAATTGGTGGATTCTTAACAAAACTTTACACCACAACGTAGATGTTCAAATGCACGATATTTGCAAATGCTTTTCAACAATTTGATGCATGATCCTCGTGCAATTCATCTGCATTAAGTTTGCAGTTGGTTCCCCCAAGTTAGAGGAAAAAGCAATCTTCGATGTAACTAAATATAGATATATACCTAACATATAGTGAGCGTTTTAAGTGAGTCTAAACATTTGAAGAGATGTATATATCTTCATACTTGTTAATGCTGAATGGATTGTTATCAAAGACAACAAGCAAAACTATTAGTGTAGATATAAGTAGCTGGAGTTGAAAGATGCATGCAGAGCAACGTACCTGTTTGGAGGGAGAAGATTCTTACAATGGTTTGAACTGATAGTAGAATTAAAAATATAGGCGGCCTATATGTATGGATATATCGATTTATTGTGATTGTATTGACGTAGAATGGTCTGGTTGTTCTCAACAAAGAACGTTCCTGACTGTTCATGGCGACAGATGGCACACTCATGCAAACGTGGTGTCAACTTAAAGTATTGTCACAAGGGGAAAAACCTCAGAACAGGTCCATGTTAAAGACAACGTCTGAATGATCTCAATGCACAGTTAACAATAAAGGCGCCCTACACATATCAATATAGTCATCTATCGTGACAGTATTGACGTATATATTCATGGTAGAAGATGACAATGAACAGTCACTGTATTATAGGCCTCTCGTAAAACTTCACGACGTTTTTAATGAGATCTAGTTGATTTGCTAAGCACTTAGTAACCTAGGGCTTAGATTTTCGAAGCTCTCTTAGCACTAAGATTGTCGTAAGTTAATGTTAATGTATGGCGCTTACGACTATCTGACTAAATTCCATACGTCAAAGTCAGAGATTAATGACATCTTGGAATGGAATATCTTCACCACCACCTATTAATTAGCACATAATGGACAAAACACTTTCCGTACATGCATACACCAAGGAACAAATATATAAATAGCCCAACAGTAGAGATTGATATGACGTTATGCATGGTGGTCAGATTCCGATATGAGATCTCTCTATATTTTTATAATGGTAAACCCTTGCTGTCTTACAAACTCTGTTTGGAATTTTAGTTCATGGCAGGAAGTCAATGTATAATTTTTGGGGTACATTGAATATTTTGATTTGAGGTTCATTTGTCTCAGGCGGTCATATGTATGAGAAGAAGCTGTTCGTGTTAACAGAGGTATCCCAATTGTGTAGATCGGTGCTCATGCTGTTGATTGCTGGATTCTATGGTCCAGACAGATCGCCACCATATAGATTGAATATTGCTGAGTGTGGCGTTAAACACCTAACCAACCAATCAACATTTCATGACTTTGGCTTTTCATTGAACATCCTCCGTATTCGTCAGATTTCCAATACTGGCCTTCAGCAACCAATGCTTGTCGTAAGAGGCGACTAACGAGATCGGGTTGTCAGACTCGCTGACTTGGTTGACACATGTCATCGCATCCCATATGAGATCGATGCTCATGTTCTTGATCACTGGATTGTCTGGTCCAGACTCTATTATTTACAGACCGGCGCCATATAGCTCGAATATTGCTGAGTGCGGCGTAAAGCTAACCTCACTCACTCACTCAGATTTCCACCTCTTACCAAACTTCAAGACAGAAGTGCCTGGTAGTAATTTTGCAATTGATGAGATCATTACATCTGAGGAAGAGCTTTTACATTATCACGAGGAAATCTTCTACATATGTAGTCGTCACGATATGGCTGAAATATTGCCGATGTGACGTTAAACAACCAATAAACTTTGTATTTTTTTACTCTTTTAACTATTACATATATGAAAGATTTGTGGTCAGTCTTATGCGGAAGACCAAATTCATTCCTTAAAAACTTGAGGTTAATTAGTACCGAGCGATTAAAAGTTGCCAAAAAGTCGCCTGCTTCCCTCTCGCCGCCAACGAAACCACAGACAGGTTACTTAACTCTGTCGCCAGAGCACTGCAGTGACGTCATATGAGGAAGGATTTTCAGTTAGTTGTATAGAAAGTGTGTAGCAAGCTCGTCATTTCGATGATTTCTCGACATCAACGAAGACATTCCAAATCGTTGCGTTGTCGTCAATTGCTCCTAGAGGTCGGGCGATGGTATAGCCATACACAGATTTCCACAGGACCCCGCAGTTCGTGCAAAATGGGTTATGTTTGTGAGTGCGATGCGAGCGTTGTGGAAACCTGAAACGATATCTTACTTGTGTTCAGATCGCTTCACGGAAGTTAAAGAATCAAAACTACTTACTAGTCGTAGTAAAATATGTATATGATTGATGACCATAAAGATTTTCCATGACACAACTTGTAACATAACGATTTCTGCCTCAGAAGCGAGATTGTGGTCGAAGTAACAATAATACTATAAGTAGTATTATATTGACAGCCACTTCGCTTCCACGAGAGAAATTGTTATACGCTAAGTCATGCAAAATCCTATTGGCCATCAATCAAATACATATTTTACTACCAGTAGAAAGTAGTTTTAATTTTGTAACTCGGTGAAAACAAACCTAAATAGCATTTATCCTCAGACTGGCGGATGTTCTCGACAGGGCGCAGCCATTTTTGAAAATCGTGAAGTCACGGGATAAAGTCTGTTAGAATTAATGAGATTATGGTTTGTTTTCATCAAGTTAGAAAATCAAAACTACTTTCTACTCGTAGTTAAATATGTATTTGAATCATAACCAAAACCATTTTGCATGACACAACTTATAACATAAGGATGAAGTGAGGTGGGGGGGGGGGGGTCGAAGTGACAATACTGCGCGATAGATACTAGTCAATGTACGTCTTTATATTTGGTCTTATAATCCTAATTAGTTTATTATCATTTTGAAACTAAATAAGAAGCAGACGATCTGCTGATACTTATAGTGCATTTATAACAGGGCTGTAATACCTAGACATTTTATAGTTTGCCATGAATCATAATTCGCACACACACCCTAGTGTATGTCTCCTTACACTTCACGGCGAAAACAACGATTCTGTTGAATGCTACGACAAATGAATAAAAACAAAATGCAAATATTAAAATTAAAACAAATTAAATTTATAGGAACAATGTCAGGCTATTACCTTGTTCGAGGAATGTCCCCATCAATATCTACAAAAACGAGTGACATGACATTTATTTGCAGCTGTTCCAAGTAATGTGTCTTTTAACAGTTTAGTATACGAAAAAGTGATATATCGTTTCAGGTATGTCACATTGGTGTATAGTCTCATTGGTTACCCAAGATAGCACATCTGGCAACTAATTGCATAATGTCCGCCATTCTTTAAAAACGTTAATTTAGTTAGCCAATAATGAGCAATCAATCACTGTATGGGAGGTTGATCACTGGATTGTCTGGTCCAGACTCGATTATTTACAGACTGCCGCCATATAGCTGGAATATTGCTGAGTGCGGCGTAAAACTAAACTCACTCACTCACTGTATGGGAGGTTAATCATTTGTAGGAAGGACGTTGTTTTTACGCAGACACAGACACGACAGAGTGTATTCAGTATAGATTAAGAAATCTACTTACATAAACACTACCTTTTGACAAATCCGCTGTGTAAGATAAAAGTAATTAATCAATCGGCGTGTTATCGGTTAATCCTTTTGATCCATGTTTATGATGTTGAATATTTACTCCAGACACAAGAAATGCCAAATAGGAACCTTTGTCGGTAATCTAAGTGGTGTTACCACTGATTATACTTGTTATAAATTCATTAACTGACCATCAAGTGAGTGATAACAAATAACATGTGTAGGTTTATACCACCTAACACGGGTTACAACGAGGGAGTATTAATTGCTGTATTGCATGTGAAAACTTATGGGCCGACACTGTTTTGAGAATACAAACAGAACGTCATTGTTGCATAAGAAATACATATAAGCATTTGCTGTGTGCTAAAACTGTATGTACCTATTTACCTAAGTAAAATTTCAGATTCTTGTAGCAATGGCAAAATAGGGTTGTTTAGTTTACCGATTCAAATAAATCAAATGTCAATTTTTAATATCATACGTAATAGACGTCATATTTTTACATGACATGATAAAATATAGAGGTAAAAAACACAGAAATGGGATCAATTTGGATCAGTCATTATACAAATAAGGCCCAACAACACCAAGTGATTTTGACAGAATCGTCTATGAAAACAAAGTTGTAACTCGAAAACTAGGCAAAGCAGGAGACAAAATTATATGACAGAAGATTGTGAGAACATATAGCTTTCATTTTCCACAACAGCTGTCACGATTTCAGGTTTAAACAAACCTGTAAACAAGATAATTTTCCCCCTGAAATGTAGATGAATTCTGCATCGGCCCTCATTCTATTCCTCATATGACGTCACAGAGACGCCCCGCTCTGATTGGTTGAAATTTCGTTCGCGGGTGAGAATTGTGCACTGTTGTCAAAAAGGTCGATTTAAGTTGATTAAAGATCGAAGTGAGTAGTTTTAATGACGGGGTTTCATTTATAGCGATGCCAGTTAGTGATTTATGTATTTGTACCCCCCTAGACTATATGTGATCTTTGAATAATAACTCACTCACTCACTCTACATATGTAGCATCCAGGTCCCAGCACTGTTGGCAGAAATGAGTGGGCCTAGTTATCTTGCCACGCCGAAGACCCGGGTTTGAGTCTCCACATAGGTACAATGTTGGAAGCCCATTTTTTAGTTATATCGATGGAATATTGTTAAAAGCGACCTAAATATGTCTCATTCTCTCACTGACTCAGAGTATTGACTGTCGTGCCATTTCATAAATTACGCCAGGATTGAACAATGTTTGATATATTATACTTAGATTACGAATAAAAGTAGTATAGGGAATGGGGGTTTTGGACCAAGTCCAACAAAAGCCTCTGCAAAGCCTTATTTGTGAAATAAGGCTTTGGTCGGACCCTTGATCCAGCTACCATTACCCCTACTGCTTTCCCGATCTTATAAAAAGTTCAGACGCTAGCGGGATACGAACGCCCAATGTTATATCTCACAGCCACACCACTCAACCGACTGAGCTACCAGGGACTTGGCTGAAGTATGTTAGTTTAACGGGTCTATCCTGGGATTGTATTATCCAATGCTGGGCTGCGTCTAACGTGCCGCTATGCCACGTTTACCTCGATGAAACAGTTTAATGTGAATCGCCTATAATCTCTTTGGTGTTTGTAATAAACAAACTGCAGACTTACGAGACTTGGATCGAATCTCGTTTCATTTTGTTATATTTTTCGAGTTCAGAGAGGATTGAACGAAACTCCTCCTCCGAGATCTTGTTGTCAGTGAGTGCCGCGGAAATACGCTCACTTACCGTGTTCAGCTTTGCTTCAGCC